CCGAAAACATAATAAGTCATTTGTATGTTTGTAAACGCACCTGCGATCTTAGATTAAAGTACTAGAAAATCCTACTGTATGTAAAGTTAAAAAAATATATAAATAACTCCCTGAAGGAAGTCGATCTGAAAGTCACTGGAGGAGGCCTATGTTCAGCAGTGGTCTTATGGCTGAAATTATAATGATATAATAATTATTCACTGACAAAATAGCTAGATCGTTAGTCGAAGGATCACAAGGATGCCTGTCGAGCATGGGACCTCAGATTCCCGGATCGGGCATAGAATAAAATTGTAAAGTATATATTTCAAATTACAGCTGGTGGTTCATGGAAGAAAGGTTTAAAGTTCTTATGCATCTGTAAAAAGTAAACTGTGCATTATTCCGAACGTTATCGTTTTCGTACCTACCTTAAAAGTTCAAAGTGATCCAAATTGGATATTGGCCCCCGAATTGAGATTTTGGAAATATTTCACCAATTATCAGGTCGACCTCATTGACAGAAAATTTCGAAACCAATAGGGACTTAGCTTATCAGTAAGCCATTTGTTAAATATTAGTTACTAACGAAATATTCAAACAGCTTCATTTTTTCTCATTCAAAAAATCTAATCTTTCCATTTCAGAGAGCCTCTCGGTAAAGCCCTAGGCATAGAAGCTACAGCGACCGTCTTTACAGCCACTGCCTCCCAGGTGCTAGCAGCTAAATGCGGCTACGAGGTCCTGGCTGAACTAGACTACGCAGAAATGAAGAAATACGGCATCGACCTGACCGGCTGCCCCACGCCTTCAGCCAAACTTATGGCATACAAATTTAAATAGAATTGTTTATTTATATCTTGGTTTTTCATTTTTTGTAAATTCCCTGCCACTTTCAAAAGACTGGTAATGCAATTTTTTGTGGGTGAGGCGAGAGTGTCGGACCATCCCGTTCCTACTCCTGCTTTTCGAGCCGGAGCACCGGCAACCCGTTAAGTTTTCCGCAGCTCCGTATCGTGCTCCATCGTAGACCGCATCATCGCTTACGACCAGGTGACAGTGGTCAAACGTCAGCCAACCAATAAAATAAACCATAACCTCATGTTTATGCTGACAGAGGAATAAGAGAATATGAAGAGAGAGAGAGGGAGAGAAGAAGAAAACCACAATAGTACGAATAATAATTTATTTCAATACAAGATGTCTTTTATACAAACCTTACAAAATAAAGTAAATGCGTTACAATCACTTTACAAATTATTACGTCTACAATACAATACAATACAATACGTAATATTACTATTTAATTACTACAAAAACCGGACTAAAATAACAAAACATTGTCTTTTCAAATAAATGTATCAAATTTTATTGACGGATGAAAAGGTGGCGCTGTAGTCGTTTTAGAGTGTCTAGCAAAAAAAAATCCATATACGCCCGATTACTGGAAGACTACTCAGTTTTAAGTAGTTAAATATCGTGCCGTCTCTGTCATTTTACAAAGAATTTGTAGAGACAGAACTATACTTAAGCACGACTTAAAATTCAGTAACCTTTCAATATTCGGGCCATAGTTTCATAAAAAAATATTAATGTTTCAAACACGCTAATCTAAACCTTGGAAGCCAGCTCGCCGCCCGAGCAGAACCAGACCCGAGCGTACGTGAGGCGCACGCGAAACGCAACGCGTCTTAAAGAGCCATCAGACCGCGGATGGGGCCCAATAGGGCTGATGCCGATACGGAGCCGCGGAGAACCAAACGGGTTCCGGCTCGACGTGCACGAGTAGGAACGGGGTGGTTTTTTAGTCAGTAAGAGTCTGACACTCCCTCCCGCCTTACCCAGGTGGGAGAAGTCAGTCATTTGGAAGTCTAATTACACCTGCAACGCGAGAGGTACTCCGAGTGTTTTACAGACCATATTGGAAACTGTTTTTACGCCATCGAGGTAGGGAGGTGCAATTAACCTGTAGTGTCGGAACGCAAATCTATAAACAGCGGTAATATGGAAAAACAATTTTTCAATTTGAAGTATTTTTATGGTATAAGCCGGTAAACGAGCAGACGGATAACCTGATGGTAAGCAATCGGCGACGCACATGGACACCTGGAACACCAGAGGCGTTACAAGTGCGTTACCGGTATTTTGGGGATTAGGAATTTGAGGAGAGGAGGGGTGATTGGGCGTCTGGTAACCTCACTCACACGACGAAACAACGCAAACGTTATATCACTATGGTTTTCTGCTCGTTGGTGGTATCACTCCGGTCGAGCCGGCCCATTCGTGCCGAAGCATGGCTCTCCCACACTTTATAAAATTAATCAAAAAGATTATAGTAAAAACCTAACAAGAATTAATTATAAAATAATCCAAAAGTTAATATGTATATTGTGCGTTTATATTTTAAAAATATTACTTAATATTAATTTTAAATACCTAATTCACATCTATACACACAGACGAAACTACGAATATTATTAAGCATAAAGTTTTTTATTAATAACTATTACATTTGTCAAAAATAAATTAATTTCAAAAAGCTTTGGTTTAGTGTACATATATTTTATTCGTTTTCATGGAAGGCCGTTGTTCCTATATTCGATTCCATTTCTAGTACAATGATAATACATAACGGCTTATACCACAGAAGTATAGGCTGTATTCAGTTCAGTAATTGGCATAAAAAATATGTAAATTAACTTTGATATACTATGGAATCGAACATAAGACGTTATGTTCAGCAGTCGTACTGGCGACAACGTTAGCAAAAACTAGCCTTCCACAAAAATAAACACAAAATTGATTATATATAAACGTTATTATGATAACCGATTACAGTACACCCTTCCATGTGGATAAAAACCCCTCACCAAATATAATAAGAAAAAAAAAAAAAAAAAAAAACAGTACACCCTGTATAATATAAAATATAAATGCGTTTTTATATTAAACTGTCAAACACCGCGCGGTCACCGGTGACCGCAACCTATTGTTCTTTAATTGTGTCTATAATGACGGTACTCGACGAGTTAAGTAAGTTATCTGCTCTGTACCTAAATATAATGGCTGTCATCATCATCACAAATCATCATCAACAGCCAGTTTGTGGGAAGACTGAATACAGATTCTTTTTTATGGTTTAGGAGGCAAACGAGCAGACGGATCACCTGATGGTAAGTGATCAACGCCGCCCATGGACACCCGCAACGCCAGAGGAGTCACAGGTGCATTGCCGGCCTTTTAAAAAAGAATACGCTTTTTTCTTAAAGGTTTGAAGGTCTATCGGTTCGGAAGTACCGCCGACGATAGATTATTCCACAGTTTTGCTGTGCGAGGCAGGAAGCTACGTGTGAAGCGTACAGTTCTGGCCTGCCTACCATCTATATGATGGGGATGGACATGCTGTCGTGTGGGTCGATGGCGAAAAGATGCGGCAGGTATCAGGTCAAACAATTCCTCAGAGCACTCCCGTGTTATAAGCGATAGAAAATGCACAACGAAGGTACATCTTTACGCATTGCCAAAGTGTCCAGCCGGACACAGTGTGTGTGTAGATCGCAGTATAAAAGGTTCAGGTTTATCAGAGAGCGCTGCTGGTCTCTGTCTAATGTGTAGTCCCTTAGTCGGGTATACGACACCCACGGAAGAATAGAGGTAAAAGTAGATAACAAGGGCAATTTTTTTTATATATATTTGATGCGCCGACGTTTGACAACTATCCCGCCTAGTAGTAAGTGATAATGCGGGTCTACTATGGAACACGTCGAACCATAAGCAACCTACTATAGTATTTTGTATAATTAGTTAAGTCATTTGGAATAACATC